ATTATTATTATTATTATTATTATTATTATTATTATTATTATTATTATTATTATTATTATACAATTGTATCACAGCGGCCAGTTGTTTCGCCGGATTTGGCATTGGTTACTAGTCGGGCCCCACCCAGGGGCCTAGGACGTTGTAATGTTTTTTTATTATTATTATTATTATTATTATTATTATTATTATTATTATTATTATTATTATTATTATTATTATTATTATGGTTAGTCATACAATCAGCCAGTTGTTTAGACTGGATTTGGCATTTTTATCCACCTATTGAGTATCTTTGTCAACTCAAGACAGTGAAGATACCTAACACTCCTGCTCCCTATTTCCTCCACAACCGAAACCCTGTAAGGTAGACTGAATGGAGAGAGAGGGACTGGTCCAAAGTTACCCAGCCCACATTCATGCCTGAGGAGGCCTAGAACCCACCGTCTCCATCAAGTGAGCTTTCTTGGTTTGGCCATCATGCTTTTTCCAAGGCTGCATTTTGCTGCTAAGGCCTTGCTTTGGCAAAACATCTGGCTCTCTTTCTGGATAGGTAGGCATACTAGCAAGCAAAGTACTGTGCAAATGGGGAGACTATTGGGACTAACGGGGACTCTGGGGAGTGATGCTCATCTCCATTTCAAGGCCATTGAGTCAACACAAGGCCATGTGGCCATCATGACATCAGGGAGCACTGTTATCTTCCCACCTAAGTGGTGGTACCTATTTATCTATTCACATTTGCATGCTTTGGAAGTGCGATGTTGGCAGGAGCTGGGATGAGGATGGGAGCTCACCTCATTGTGTGGTGTTTGGGTCTTGAACCTGGACTGCCAGCTTTCCAGCCAACAAGCCCAGTGTCTCAACCACCATGCACCACCCTTTGCGGGATGAAAAAAGGGCAAAATAAGCAAAGAAGGCAAGGGAAGGCTGAGCATGTCACCTCAAAATGACCACTCCTGCGGACCAAGGTAGTGGAACACACGAGCATCAGGGAAGTGAGGAGCTGCAGGAGAAGACCCGTCAGAGAGGCAGTTCCATGAATCCATCCAATGCCAGGGCGGGTGGTGAAAAGGTATTCCCAGAGACGATACCCTCCTTTGGCCTGAGACAGCCTCACTAGGATGAAGGGAAAGACTGGATAAGTAACTCCTTAAAACAGCCTTTTGCATTATGGAGGCAATGCTGGATTGCTCAGGTGTGGTGGCTCCCGGTCCATTTTGGGTCCTAAATTCAGAATGCTGTTTCTGACTATTAAAACCTTCATGTCTTAGGACCAGGTGCTTAAAAGTTTTGCTGGCTACCAGTTAAACATATTATTAGCAGGACAGATCACATTTTAAGTGAGACAGGGACTTCTTTGTAATGGCACCATAGCTGCTAGAGTCAGAGAGATCCCCTCTTGTTTTAGAGGTGAGGTAGAGGAAGATGGAAGGGAGAAGGAGAGAGGGTAGTAAGGGGAAGAGAGGAGTAGGGGAGAGGAAAGGGAAGATGGAAGGAAAGGAGAGAGGAAGGAAGTAGAGAAGGAAGGGAGGGAGAAAAGAAAGAGAAAAAGAAGGTGGTGTCAGAACAGGGGGATGGTAAACAAAGCAACCCAAACAGTATGTTATAAATGGAATGACAAATGTATAAGAATGATGAATGTAAAAAAGAATAATAACTATGTGAATGTATACCTATAATTGTATATGGAGAACAAAAAATAAACAACTTTTTTTTTTAAAAAAAACACCTTGGTTTAGAAATTTTAGACCCTGCCTGAACTTGCTATAACTTTGTGTTGTTTTTAGGCATCCGTGGCTAAATGTATTTTTATTTTTCTATTTCTATTTTAAATGTGTCATAATTTTTATAAAGTGCTCTGGGATAGCAATGAAAGCAATTAAATAACAGAAGAAAAACAATATGAAACAGAAAATCTGAGCAGCATTTACCAAAATTGATGATGTGAGCTCCCATGTGGAGGAGAGTTAGAGCACCCACTATGTATCCCATCAGCTGATGCAGGATGACGTTCAGGTCCAGGGGCAAAACTTTAGCTATCCAGGTGGTCCTTAGCCAGGTGAGAGATCGGCGTAACATCAACACCTGGGGACGGCAGGGCGGATGGGGGGAAGAAAACAGCTGAATTGAGAGGGGCAGAAATGTTCATCCTTCTTTAAAAAACGATGCATGCAAAGCCATCATTCTGGTGGCTTTGAGCAAAAATGGGCCATTGCAAAGTTATAATTTAAAACAAAGCTTGGATTTCCTACTGAACAGCAGTTGCAATGCTGTTTTCCTCCGGAAGCCCTTCTCCAACTTTCCCTGATCACCGGCCTTGACCGGTTGGGATGTGGGATGCAGCCCCATTCCTCACCAGTATGAATGCGCAGTTGAAGTTCAGGCACTGCCCACAGCCTCTGGCCACCACGATCCAAAGGCCAGAGCCAGCCTGCTTTAGGGCAGCCAAGGTGAAGAGGATAATGTTCACACATGCATAGCTACCCAGCAGAAGAAGCTTGTTCTTGTTGTTGTACCAATATACAGGACTCAGGATGTGTGGGATTTGGCTCTTCCGGGGAGCTGTGGGCGGCTTTAGCCAACTTGCAGCACTGAAAGAGAAAGGAGAGAGGAGCTAGTGAAGTTTTCAGGGCTTTTCAACATCCAGAGGGATACAGGAAGACTCAACACACAGAAGCCCAAAGGCTACTCTTCCCCTAAGTGCAGGGCAGGAAGCCATTCCTGAAGTCTTACTGATTAAGATTTAATAAATAAAAGCCCATGTTTTCTTGGCACATGTAATCTGGTTGATTAATATTCTTAGGGGTTGTAATGATACACAGATATATCAGGGGTGGATTTCAGACGGCTTTACTGCCGGTTTGCTCGTGCGCACGTGTGCATATGCGCACTGGATGCATGCTGTGTGCACATGCGCAGTTCAATGGAAATTGTTCTGCGCATGCACAGAACTAAAAAAAGAGATGCCAATGACGGTGACAGGGGAACCAGTACGGGGGCGTGGCCAGCCTGGTTTGCTGCCGGCTCTGCGACCCAGGCTGTCATTCCACTACTAGTTCAGCCAATGATTGTGGAGGTTAGCATGCTGTATGAAAGCTTTCAACATGAGACGCTACCTTTGGACTTCCAGGTTGTTCAACCTGATCCTGGCTGCAGAATTCCCCGGCTTCAGTCCCTTCTGTAACAGTTGTGATGGCTTTCTCCCAGACTCTGAAAAGGGAGCTTTCAAAGCGTTCCTCAAACCATCCTAATGGGTTTTATTAGGCTTCTTTCAACCTCACCAAATGAGTTGCTGCCATTCCAGGGTGAGAAAAGGATTCACTTATAGGTTGAAAAGGAGTGGCTGATTTCCAGTTACTGTTCTACAGGTACTATTAGCAAGAGGGTCTTGTTCCCCCTCAAGGCATCACTACCCTTCAGACACTATAAGGGTCCAATCCAATCATCTATGTTGCATTTAGAAAGAGGTGCCACTTCAGTCCCAGGTCCAGCTTCAAGGGGCAGTTCAGTCAAAGCTTCCTGCCAACATCCCCTTCTCCCCACATCCCAAAACTCCCCTTGGGGATGTTTCTCAGATTAAGGAACAAGCAATTGGATAACAGAATACCAGAACAACAGATTTCAATGACTTCTCTCTTCACCTGCACTCCAACTACCAAAGCTGTCATGGTAGTGAAAAGATGATTGCTACAAGATAGCACCTTAGGTGACAGAAACTCAGCCCAGGACAAATACACTATATTGCCAAAAGTATTCGCTCACCCATCCAAATAATCAGAATCAGGTGTTCCAATCACTTCCATGGCCACAGGTGTATAAAATCAAGTACCCAGAAAACAGCCCGAAAAATGGCCAAAAACAGGCATGTGTGCACCAGCCAGCTGGTCTTCA